CGGTTTACACCATGTCGGGCGCAGCCAGATTAGCTCAAAATGTTCGGTCCATTACCGTGGTAGCTTGACGGCTGAAATAGACCAGATCTTCCTATATATATATATATATATATATATATATATATATATATATATATATATATATATATATACGTTAACTAGAGGTGGGAAACAAATCAGCTACTGTGCCGCAATACCTAAAAAAGGGAATAAAATGCAACAGCTGCAAGCCAGCTGAGCTACAGGTAACGGATGGGCATCGTTCCGGTAAGCTACCAGCCAACTACTATGCAGCATAAAAAATAATTTACCGTGTAAAATTATAAAATGTTAAATAATGAGATCGTAGTTGGAGAGGGAGGCTAAGAGGGATGGGGTGGCACAAAGAAATTCACAGCACGAACGCCATTGAGGTCGGCTCCTAGCCATATCAACAAGTGTGTCTAACCTAACATGTTCATCGTCCTTCGGACCCCAACCAGGGAGCCGAGACGCTCCAACCGAGGCCAGCTTCGAAGTGAGGGCCTTCATTACTCTCGACCAAGTCATCGCTTGGCCACCCCTCCTCTTCTTCCATCCACATCGCCGGCGCGCAAACAACGCACGTCGCGGGAGTCGGTGGGGTGACATGCGTAACACGTGGCCGAGCCGTCGGAGCCTGGTGCGTGAAATAACGGTGCTGAGCAGTTCAATTCCTTTTCATGTGCCGTAAACAAGGCTTCGAACACGCTCGTTGCTCACGCGGTGTTCCCACCAGATGTGAGCTAAATTACGAAGGCACCGGTGGTCGAACGTAACTAGCCTCTTCAGGTCCGCTGATCTAAGGGGCCAGGTTTCACAACCGTTCAGTAGGGTCGAACGTACCTCTGCATTGTACATTCTACCCTTCAAGGCGGGAGTGACGTCGCACCGGCGCCATAAATGGCGAGGGTTAGCAAAATCGCCTCTAGCTTTTGCTATCCGGTTCGTGATCTCATCTGCAATCCCATGGGCGCTGATACAACTTCCCAGGTTGTTGAATTTCCGAACGAATTCTAGCTTAGCCCCACCAAGCGTCAACGAAGGAGGCGGTACAGGCCAATTTTGAAGGAAGGCTTCGCACTTTGATGGTGCAAAGTAAAGCCCGAAGCGGCTGATAGCCAGTGCTGATCTGTCCGTTGCAGCTTGGCACCTCTGGGAGCTGTCACAGATGAGGGCAATGTCGTCTGCATACTCCAAGTTAAGAAGTCCTTCTCGTGGTAGCAGATCCACACCTTCTAAGTTGTGATCTGTGAATGCGATTTCCATGCCTTCGTCAATAGCGAAGTTGTAGAGGAAAGGTGATAGCGGGCATCCTTGTCTCACACCGCTGGAGATATTGAATGGCGCCGGCAGCTTGCCGTAAGCCATCACGCGACACGTGCTAGTCGCGTAGAATGATTGGATAATATTTACATATTTCTCAGGTACACCTTTCCTGAGTAGACAGTCCCAAATTGCATGTCTATCCATCGAATCGAATGCACCTTTGATATCGATAGACACGACAACGGTGGCCCGCCAATATATGTGACAGTGCTCCAACCACAGACAAAAGTGAAGATGTGGTCAATGCAGCCAAGACCTGGACTAAACCCGGATTGCTCTTCACGAATATGGCTTTCACGAGTGCCAGTCATTCTGTGACGTATAACCGAGTCAAACAATTTGAAGGCGATGGGGATCAGACTGATTCCTTTATGATTGCCGCATTCCGATCGTCAGCCTCCTTTGAAAATTGGGACAATGACGCAGCGGCTCCAGTCGGTTAGGACAGTTTCCTGCTTCCACAGCTTCACTAGCAACTCGTATAAATAATTCGCCAGGGCAGGTCCGCCGAATTTGAAGAGGGCTGGAGGAAGATCATCTGGTCGAGCGGCTTTATTTAACTTTAACGGTCAGATCTCATGGTCGACTTCTGAGCGAGAGAGTGGATCCAAATGGACAGCCCACGGAGCGGGGCGGTCAGTTGCCGGCGAGAAATCTAACAACTGCGACCGACCGGATCTTCACACTGCGTCAATTTCTCGAATATGGTCACATCCACCGAAAACCAGCAATAGTGGGGTGTTTTGGACATCCTGGCCGTCTTTAACTCCATAAATAGATCATCTCTTTGCAACTGTTTGCTAAGAAGCGGTGTACCCGACGAATTTGTCCCAATGCAGAAAGAACTATCTCCACACATTGGGCAAAGGTAAAGCTTATGGAAAGCATTCTTCGTCTTTTGCTGTTACCAGCGGAGGACGCCATGGTTGCCCGATCTCACCATTCTTATTCAACTTTGCCATCGATGATGTTCTCCATCGCACTCTAGAAGGCGCCGAGAGCTGTGACGTTGAGCTCCTCCCCGGGTACAGAGTTTCGGACATGGATTATGCTAATGACATCGCTTTCCTGAGGGAGGACCCACAGGCCATCCAAAACGTTGTGAACCGCTTAGCGATCAAGGCATCTAAATATGGTTTGTACTTTGCCCCATCCAAGTGTAAAACCATGCTCAAAGATTGGAAAGTGCTGGTGCCCACGCTTACAATTGCAGGTGATTGTCTGGAGCTGGTGAATCGCTTCATTTATCTTGGGAGTTGCATCACGGCGGGTGGCAGTGTTGGAGATGAAGTGTCTCAGCGAATCGCTAAATCGCGCCTGGCGTTCACTAAACTGAGGCATTTGTGGCACCGCCGCAACTTTAATCTAAGGCTCAAAGGCAGAGTATGCAATGCCCCTGTCCGAGCGGTCCTAGCGTACAGCTGCGAGACTTGGTCTGTCCGTTTAGAAAATCTGAGACGACTAGCAGCTTTCGACAACCGCTGCTTACGAACGATCGTTCGTGTGTGGTAGCAGTAACACCTAAGCAATTTGGAAATTAGAATCCTAGTAGTCGGAGCGAACAATCCGAGTCTCCAGGGCATTATTCTCGAACACCGTTTACGTTGGAGTTGTCACCTTTTGCGCACGCCAACCAATCGACTTCCTTGACGAGTATTATTTGCTATTGTTGAATGTACTTGGAGGAAAGTTTAGGGTGGACAACCGATGAGGTTGAAGAGGAAGGTTAAGAATGTCACCGCATGTCTGGCTTCATCAGGATCTGTCCGTCTTCCAATTTGGGAACCACTTGATGTGCACTCTAAATGACTGCAAAGTTTGGAGATAATACCACGTGCCCGACTACAGTGGCGTCGATGCTGTTCAAACAGTTCCGTCTCATCCACATTTAAAATTTAATCAAACAAAACTACTCAAAACGGCGTGTGCAAAATACAAAAAATAAACGCGATAACTAAAAAATGCGTTTTCCTTTGTTTTTTGTACCACTATTTTTGCATACCATTACAGCCGTGATTCTAATGGTACGTGTGTCTGTTCTCAGACCTATATATATATATATATATATATATATATATATATATATATATGTGAGTCCTTGTTTCTGTTGACGAAGTACAGCTTTTTCCTAATTCTACTACTACCACACACTTTGACTGCACTCGACTGGTGTTTGACTAGGTCGCTTGTTATTGGTTTCTCCCAAACGAGCAGTCTCATTCCTCTGGTAGGCTTCAATGGCGTCACGTCTGTTGGCTTACTTGTTTTATAAACCTTGCAGTTTCTGTCGCGCATATAATTCTACTCCAGGTGGCTTAGTTTTCTCACAATGCTAGCGCCTGTAAGCATTTGTGGGTTGCAAAAATCAGCAGCACCTAATAAGCATCACTAGTTTTTTTAAACCTCTTCAGTTTCTATATATTGAAAACCGTTATAAGACGCATTCAAAAAATATTTTGTACTATGTATTCCATTGTTTTCATCATCCTTCCGCTGAGTTTACATAGAGACCGTGCTTATTTCGCATGAACATTGTTAGTCCTCCATTGTATTTCATGCATTTTGCAACGAAGCGATCTATAAGATTTTTTCATTTTGTGTGTGTGTTGGTCTTCCATACTAGCTTACATAGATGTCACTACCACTTTTCTTTTGATGCATGGAAGCGCTTTCAAATAGGGACGTTGGTAACCCAATGTGCCAAACTGATTAACCGGACCCTTCTAATTGAACGTTCGAATTCCGGTGCTGTTGTATTCTATGCTTTTACCGACCCGTGTGGCTTGCTAAATGATATGCTGAAATACATGACTGTAATTTTGTAGTCTGTAGCAATCTAAGCATCAGATACGCTACCTGCTAAAGGCAAAAGCGAAATACCCTTGTTTGCCGACCAGCTTCCCAAGGGATTGTCACAAGTATCTAGGGATCTGCAAATATAATTCACAAGTGGCTGTCAGCTAAATTAACTAAAATTCGACGCAATGCAGTCGCAGCTAATCCTTTTTGTCCACCTATGATGGATACCAAAGGAAAAAATGGTATATTGCCCTGAACCGTGTTAGAGTTTTGAGGTTAGTTTAGATAGTTTGGCAAATCATCCAGTGTCACATCGTTTGTCATATGTGGTACGGTTTCCGGTAGTAAAGTTCCTTAGTTTCCATTCGTGTAGTTGTTGAGAAGGTACAGGTATCGTACATGTTCACAATATTACTAGATGGCCACCACTTAGCTGAAAAAGTGATTGACAAATACCCTGTCTGTTTGGTAATAACTGGATGTTGCCTCCATTGGGCCAGCAATCTTCGTTAGTAAGCATAGGTTGAGATCTTTTCTTGTAAACACACTTTCCAACTGTTTTCCTCCTTGGTGTTATCGTAAGCTGATTACGTTTACCGACCGAAAGCAAGATTTCACAGGGGGTTATCATCACGAATAAAACCTTTAAATTTGATCATGGATTTTCTCGTTGTTGTATGTTTACCCGGACTTAATCAGCAACCTCAGACATTGTGTGATTGCTAACTCGAAAAGTTTGCCTGAGCAGAGATTACTGTTGCTGTTATTATATGATTATTATGAAAGGGCTTATGAGATTTACCAATGTCATCACAAAGACTGACTCCTGAGTCTGTTTCTCTATCTCCATATAGCGCCAAATCGGTCACGACGAAACTGGACGACCTGTTTTATACGCATCATTTTTCCCTGCTCATCCATCTCAAAGGAATTCCCTGAATGGTGCTCTGGTCCACTTGATCTTCGTGATTGAAAATGCGATTCGGAGTATGTTATCGGATGTCAACCAATGGGTGTTTGTGATTGACTGTGCAAGTAAGTTTCTGTATTTTGAAAGTCATTATACACGGTGAATATGGGCAAAGAAAGAAAAGAATTTGTATCAACTGAAAAAGGTTATGTTTATTAACAAGCGGCGCTAGTTAGCATTAGTTTGCTTTGATAAATTCCCATAGAACCCACCTGAGATTAAATGGACTTGCACTAAATTTATTGCACTAGTGTGCGACGCAACTACAGTTAAAAGTTCAGTGGTACTAAGAGAGAATAGGGTGCACTATATTCGCAGAAGCAAAAGCGTAAGCTCTAACATTCCTGATATTTTTCAAAAGCAGGGTATCGCAAACAATCGTGTGTTCATGAGTCGTGAAGATAAAGTAGTTACAAACCCCATTAGCTTAACAATAACATCTCATAACTAAAAGGCTACTGAATTCGGAAGCAATAAAGTGGCATCAAATGAGTTAAGACGAGCTGGTGCAGTTTCGCTCATCAAACAGTACTCCACATGGTCGTCCGCCATGCAAGGATGGCCTCATGATATACCTCCAGCGCATTTGTGTTCCTCTCTGATGTGGACCGATGAGTGAGCAAGGGCCCCAACCTCCCCAAGGCGTCAACTCGCAGTCCTGTGTTGGCCCCGAAACAGTACCCCCGTTGAACGTAGTGATGGTATTCTCCGTGTCGGGGCTCACTTGATCTACCTTCATTTCGGTTCCATTTTTTTGTCGCTTCTCCATGGCCGTTCGTGCTTTAGTCATACGAACTGATTTCGCCCATTCGGCAGGTAAACATTCCGCAATACATGAGTTGTAATCATTGTAGCGATTCCGATTGCCACCACAGCCCATGTAGATAAATTCAAAACAGCGACGAGTTCGTTGAGAAAAATACCTGGCAAAATCAAACAGAAGTTGAATTGCGGATTAAAAGCCATTAAAGATAGGCATTGGAGACGTCTACGTAGAAAGGAAAACATTTTTATTACCAGACAACCAATTTTCTCTCCATCCCATCCGGGCACGTTTCGCCCGGGTCCATCGACAAGCTGCAGTACTCAGCAGGTTTCATTTCCTGTTCCGAAATGGAGTCGCCTGCTGAGGATGCAATCTGAGTAGTTTGGTACTGTAATAAGGTCATACGTTCCCGTCGCCACGCAGGTAAGGCTTCGACAGCTGGGATGCACACTGACTCACAAAGTTCCTTAGTGGTGAATCGGTTTCTCCCACCCTTGCAGCCAAGATACTCGAATGACAAACAACCATGGTCCACCGCGCTGTAGTAATAGGCTCTCGCTTTGACCCCGCACGGAATTCCATCCTTACGGCCTTCACCGCAAATCGTCGCCGGATCACATTCCACGTCTGTCGGACCACATTCACGCTTTTGGATTACTGCACCTGTTATGTGCTCCTCAGAACTGTTGAACACGTGTGGACAAATAGATTGTTCATGTGGACGGGCCAGATAACGTCTTCGGGTTTGTTCCCCAGTCCGATTCTCACACGTCGCATTGCAAGGTGTCCATTCAGTCCAAGGGAGAAGACTGCAGGGTGAACTGAAATCGCATGTTCGCTTTCGACCTTCACATGACTGTAATACACAGATTGATAACATGGAATTTATTGAGGAAATGCACCCTAGGATGACTGTGAGACACATTCCACATTTATATCTACGCGTTACACACACTAAAGCTGAATCAACATTGATTTCCCTACCACCTGTCTGGTATTTGGATAATCTTCGGTTACTCGCAGCACTTGGGTCGCATTCGAAATGATCCAGTACAATCATTTACCATTCCGTTAGTTTTACCTCAAGGGAGCAAAGTTCGGTTTGGTGGACGAACCGTAGTTGCCGAGTGCGCACCTTAAAATGACTACAAGGAAGTAAACAACTACCGTGGATTTCAAACCCATTAACAAAAGCTATAAGCAGGGTTCTAAAAGATTGATGGCCTGCAATTTCGGAGTTGAGCCGACGATTGAAACTACATTTTTAAAGTTCGTCAGCGGCACACTATATCAAATGGAACACGCTATTAATGACCATCACCATACTGCATCAGTGCTTCGGGTAAGACGAAATGAGTCAACGGGCAGGGGAAAGTTCACATGCAGTTCTTCAAGGTAACGTATACCGATATACTCATATTTGTAGCTATCAGTTTGGACAGTAGCCAGCGCACCTCAGTGTACATCATGCTGTTGTGATGTAGCAGTGTCTGCGATTGTTGCCGAAGCTACAGGTTACCCCTAGGACACACCACTTGTTTTCAAGCATGCGCAATTCTCTTTCCCATAGTTCGGTTACACAGGTAATTTCTTAGCTCTAACGTCGTTTCGACTTACCTATTCAGCCACCGTAGAATGACCGCGCGACTGTATTGATAACAACCGGGCACATGTTGTGCCCTAATGCATCTGCCGCCATTTGAGCCAGGGAAAAGTCATATAATCGTCCAAGTAGCGAACATATATCTGTGACCTAAATCTATCTTCGCATGCATTTTAAGACCGCAAATACTAATGAACTGAAAATAAAGTCGACAAGATTACCTAATAATCGTCAGACAACCACTTAAGTCATATTTTATAAACGATTTACAAAATTATGAAATCCGAAGCTTTGCTATGTCCAGTTCAATCGGTGCAGCCACTTGTGTCATACATTATAACTACAGCTTGTTACATCTTAATATAGCCGGTACTTTAGGGACACCCCCGTTTCTTATCTTTTTTGCTTCGCTGTTTTATCTGTTATACATTATATATAAGGGCCTTCCTATGTTGCACATACCACCGTATATTAATAAAGTAATAATACCACGTGCAGAATTGCCCCCTAACTTCACTGCACTGATGATGAGGCGGACTTACCTCTTCCTCCACAAGAGGCACATGTTGGCATAGCTCGTTTTTCTTGTTAACGACCATTATCCGTTGGCGATGGCGATGACCAACGCCACAGGTGACAGAACAGAGGCTCCAAGGCGACCACGGGCCGGTGATGCAGAGAAATGTGGCCATTTGGGCTAGACTGGGATCGGAGAGTGGGTTGTCACCCGCTGAAGTCGATCCACCAGATTTACGGCGAGATTTCTTCATCACACCACTGCCACTCAGATCCCCCATAGCTGATTTCACAGGTTCCAATTTGTTACTACCATCACTATTCTGAGCTCTTGATCCGCCGACGACTTCGGTTTTACCATCAGAAAGGAAAATCTCAACACCATTGCCAAGTTTATCCGTACACTGCCAAGGCTCTTGCGGCAATAAGCGTTCAAGGGTAACTCGAGCCACGGGAAGATTGCGAGTGAACGGATTATCCGGCATCCAATCCGCCGTAATATGTCTGATCGGATCAGGGATGTCCTATGTAAACCAACACCGGATTGAGTTACAGTTTATCAAGGAGCATAAATAGTTGGGCAAAAACAATTATATACGGTATATAACTAAGAAATAACTGGATAATTCACTCCATACTGTGCAATGTGCTTTGAACAAACGTGCTCCGTCGCATCACTGAGCCTTATGCAATCAGTCACAATCAAATTAACGAACTCACGTATATGGACGTAGCGTTTTCCCCAGGGAACTGAACAACAAATACTGGTGATTTTTGAAAAATTCCGTCCCCCTTTCTGTAGTGTCGTCATAATTGCGCCACCAGGACAGAATTCATTCAATGCAATCTACTTGGGTTCAAACTGTGTCCACCTCGAGCTAAGTTATCCGATAAACTGAATACAATGTTAATGCAACCGTTCTCAATTCGAGGCCATGCGTTCAATGAACCGCAAGGCAAACACTTTCAAAATTCATTACAGTGAGTAACACAGTCAGTAACACAAAACAACAGCCCTCCTACTGTCTATGCAAGTCATAATTTGACCAAAGACTAGACAATTGTTCATCATAGAATCATATCAATTGATGTGAGTTCGGAGCACATTACTCGACTGGAATTAACTCCGTGTTAGGCTCACATCAGTATTCACTACCAGTTCCAGAGAATTTGTTCACCAACCTCAATCGTGAAGCCTGTTTCACAAAACCGCTGCATGCCTCCAAATACAACCCATGGAGGCTTGCAACGAACTCCTGACGATTAACGCACATGGCGGATTATTCGATTTTAATCGTTTACCATTTTGTGTAACCTCAGGACCAGTCATCTACCAACAAACAGTGGATTCCATGTCAAACGGGTTATCAGGAGTAGCTGCTCAGTTTGATGGCTTCATCGCCACTGGTTGTAGCGAGAAAACACATTCATATAATCTACATTGCGTACTTGATCGAGTACAATAGTATGGTTTTCGTCGCTCGGAAAAATGTTTTCTATCTAACTTCCACAAAATATGTAGGATTCCTTTTCGACAAAAGTGGTCGTCATCCTGATCCAGAACATATTTCTGCCATTTAACAAATATCCTCACCGACTAATTTGGCTGTCCTACGATCTATTCCTGGATTGGTAAGACATTACTCTGCTAATTTACCGAATATACACCGTGCCCGAGATCCACTCAACCATCTTTTAAAGAAGGATGTGTTGTGTAATCGGTCAAAGGAATGCTTGTCCGCTTGATAAATTTAAATTACTACTGAGTTCTGACTTGCTCCTCACACATTACAACCCCGCCTTAGATATTGCTGATGTTTCCGATGCTTTCAATTTCGGAATCGGAGCTGTCACCTCTCACGTCTTCACAGATGGCATAGAGAGAGCGATTGCTCACGCAGCCAGATCACAAATGTCACTGAACGCAATTATGGACAGGTCAATAAAGAATATCTAGCCATTGTCTTCGCAATCAATCAGTTTCACAAAATGTTTTGTGGACGTCATTTACCCTCATAGTGGATCACAAACCCCTTCTCAGCATGTTCGGATCCAAGAAAGATATTCCAATTTCCCCAGTTAACAGGTTTCGACAATGGACTACTAGGCTTCTGAGTTATGCGTTTCCCATAAAATAGCGGAATGAAGATATTGACCAGACGGAGACTTTGTGAAGACTCTTGGGATCTTACCACCTACGGCCTGAATATACCGCTTTCGTATAAGTATCCGTACAGCCAGATGTAAACACTGCGCTGGCTACATCAGTCCGCACACTACCAGTTACTACTCTATGATCCGCGTGTCCATTGCTGGTGATCTGCTGTTACAGGAACTTATTCGCATTTATCACACACATTGGCCGACATTGTGACCCTCTCAACAACTTCAGTCGTCCTATTAACCTCGTTCTTGTTTGACCGACGGCATATTCTCTTTGCCGGAAGTGCTATAGTACCTACAAATTTGCAGGCATGTGTTCGCAAACAGTTTCACTCTGGGCATCCTGGAATAAATCGCAGGAAAATCTTATTCCTTAGTTACGCGTATTAATCGCACATGGATAAGCAGATAGAAGAATCTGCTCAAACCTGTTCAAAATGACAACTCTCTACAAGATCTTCTTGTAAAACGGAATTGTGCTCATAGCCAGTACCAGATACCAGTTAGACACAACTTCATGTTGACTTTGCGGGATCAAACAATGACCCACACTATCTGCTCCTGGTTGATGCCCACAGTAAATGACCGGATGCCCTTACCATTGACCATAACACAACGCGTGCTACCATCTCAGATATACAGCATGTATTTGACAGTTTTGGTGTTCCACTTAACGTAGTCTCTGACAACGGTACAGCGTTTACTTTCACAGAACTCCTCGACTTTTATAAACAAAACAGTATCCAGCACCTCCAATCACTGCCGTTCCACCCACAATCCAAAGACCAAGTCGACAACTTTGTTGAGACTTGCATGCAATGGCTGTCAAAGCTCAAAGGGGAAGAGACAACGCTGGAAATTATCGAAGCCTTTTGCTGAGTTACAGGTCGAGGCCAAATATTAATGGCACAAATGGAAACTCACTGGCAAAAACTTTGATATGCCGAAAGCTTCGTTTACTCGTCGATGTCATTCGTTCAGCCTTACGTTTGCCGATCGGTCGAAACATCCGCATGGAAAACAAATTCAACCGTCATCATGGTACTATGAACCGCGCGTTCCATATCGATCAATTTATCTTAGCTAGGGATTATCGTGATGGTGACGAAAAGTGAACGCAAGGCATGCTGATACACTCCTTACCGTGGGTTTGCCATACCAACCAGTTGCGTTCGTCTCCCTCCCAAACAACAAAACTCCACTATCCATGAATCATTCGAATGACGTTCTCGTGGATACTTTTGAGCTCCTACAGACATCCTAAAAGCGGGAAGAAACCACCCAACCGGTTACCACAGTCCATTACATACCTGCGAGATGGACTGATTGAAGAAGACGGCCGCATGTATTTATGCTGCTGGGTCCACGATATCAAGTATACGAACATCCATGCACAAGGGGAGGTATTAGTAAGGTTGTCTACAGCCAAATTTATCCCTTTTGTCAACCCTTATGTGCATTAATTGTAACCATCCTTTCCGCCATTCCAACTCGTCACTGATTCCATCCCGGACTGTGACGCTCTTTACATTCCACTGTATTCAATGCTCAGTCCCTCCGGATTCTGTTACTCGGTGATATAGCTTTTGTCAGTACTCGTTTGTCTTCTCATCTTCCGTGTGTTGACATAGCATAACAGACTTAGTGACAACTGTCGAAATTCTTGAAGCCAAACAATTAAGACGAAGATGTGAACAGTTGGTGGCGCCGTGATGGGCTCCACGATGTGCTAACAAAGTTGAGTCCCAAACACTTTTCTCTCAACTAGGTGTAATGTATGGGTAAGTATGAAAGGAGAGTATCGGAGAGTTGTAAGTCAATTTGAATTGGTAAAATTGCACCCAATAGTATTCCTTGTGGTAAGACCGTCGTATCGCAATGTAAGCAACAATGTGCAGTTGAAGATTTTGATCCGGTTAACGCGACTAATATTTCTCCGCTCAGCTGACTGCTTTTCGACTCTACTCACTATGATCTTATATCTGCCCTCGATCACAGCAAGGTCATACTGGTATTCAAAGAAAAAGCAGTACGAAGTCCAGTCAGTAAGTCCACAGGGGGCAGAGTAGAACCTGAAGTTAATTGCTTTGCGCGAAATCCATCACGGTTAGACGTATTCTGTTCTGGAAGCACCATCCACCCGTAATCCAACTCCGCGCTTTATTCAGCATCACAATGCGAAAATATGTTTTCCGGGAAGGTAAAATACCGTTAGTTACAATAGGGTATTTGCTAGGCACCGGACAATAGACTGCTAATATCTCGTTGACATCGATTCGAGCTATACTCACATGTCCAAAGCAAATAAATGACAATCGGATATCTTACATGTAACATACATCTCCTTCATCGTAGCAACTTGTGGATACTTCTAAATTCTGGACAAGTGGGACTCGTGACACTGCTTTTGCTATCTTGGTTACCGTGTACCCACATGCAGAAATAAAAAGACTATCTTAAAAAGGACTCGAATAACTGGCATTTTTGGTTCAATACCTAGTTGTTCACCAGTTATCTAATATGTAACATGTCCATACCTCGCATTTTCCAAAAACTTCCCCTTTATTTCACACCGGAACCGACAAGTTTACTTCACACTGGGATCTAATAAGATCAGTGCCATGCAACTCTTGTGGGGTTGCCTTAAGTTGGGTTTCAAATACGGTAGCTCGAAATTATACTGCTAGTCGTATGGAAGGCTCTAAATTGCCTCCAGCCGTGGTGTGAGGCATCGGACAAAATCTGGCCCTTCAGACAATAAGAACTATTCTTTTACTTTGACTAGCATACACGTTTAACCGCGTGATACGAACATATCTGCTGTAAATGCTGTCTCCTACTGACCCGACACAATCAATAATCCTTACCGGTTCCGTTAGTTTATAGGTTTATACGGCGATGCACTTCGTGTGATAAACAAGTACACTGAAACTGGACAGCAGAGCTGTCAGTAGCCATGGCACCTTGTAGATTGGTTTAAACTTCTCCATCTTGTGGTAGTCATTTCAGACAACTAAATACCTGGAAACGTGTTGATGACCCTTGTGGCGTTTGCGTCGTTACAACAATAAGCCCAACTAGTCAATCAATCCAACGCTAATAACTTAAGTTTTCGTATGTGCACAATAACTTTGAGCAGTGAGTTTACACGGATTAAGAGGTATTGTTTTATAAATCCCGTTGGGTGGTCTGGTGGTGTAGTCGAATTGTTAATAAGAAGTAGCTAGTGTTTACTATCAAAAAGAAGACTTAAAGTTTACAATGCTGTAGTCCTGCACTCCGCGTAGTTTCACAACACAAACAGGTAAAGGCTATTAAAACAAACGTATATCTTAGGAGCTGAACAGAGGGTGTGCCATCG